AAAAAAAATAATAGCTGTCCCCAATAATGTCGCAGTATGCGGCAATTCAAACGCGAGGACAAAGGTGAGGACGGACTTATGAAACAATTTAGTAAAACATTGATGTTTGAAAGTTTACTAAACAGAGAGTGGACGTTGAATTAATCCGTCATCGTAAATTAGAGCGTTAATGGTTTCGCTTCAATTTGAACCCAAAAAAGATTAAACAGATTGAAATCAGCGTTTGAAACTCTCCAAAAATCGTAGTTCTTCAAAATCCACTTCACCCAAAAACATGTATTTTGCTGAAAGCAATACTTTGTCTCCTTTCTCCAGTGTAGTGACTCTTAATTCCCTCTCGATGTGCTCTACTCGTTGCGCGACCTCGTCTAATTCGTTCTGTAACGATGAGTTAATGGATATTGCTATTGCATCCGTTAGACTACTACTACCGTCAGTTTTGCTTTTTCTGTCTTCTTCATAAGATTATGTCTTACTTCAGTTTCTAAGCGTTCTACCCGGTTTGCAACCGCTTCTGTCACACCCTAAAAGCTAACAATGTACTTGATTTGGCTTTGTGTCTTTGAAGCGTTTACCATCATTTCCTTTTCCATACGCTCTACGTGATACGCAACCTCGTCCACCGCGCTCTGAAATGGAGAAGGCATAATATCGCTCTTGTGATAGCTTTTTAGGAATACTTTGTCTCCCTTCTTCAAAAGGACAGACTTCATTTCTTTTTCTATGCGCTCTAAACGATTTGCAGTCTCATCTAGCATGACCTGGAATAATGAAGTAATATTTTGCCGTTGAGCTGGTCTTCTCTTACAGCCAGTGAAGCTCTGTTTTCTATCTTCAGTTGAGCATCACTCATTTCAGTCTCTATGCGCTCCAGTCGATTTGCAATCTTGTTTACCGCACGCTAAAATGAACACGTAGTCTTGCTGTTTTCTCACTTTTCTTTCCTCTAGCTATACTTTGTCTTCCTTCTCTAGTAAAACAGCCCTTATTTCCTTTTCGATACGCTCTACTCGATTTGCAATCTCGTCCAGCACAATCTGAAAGTATATTCAGTAGGATTTTTTTGATAATATACACTTTGCTTATGAAAAAAGACATTTTGCTTTCTTTCTATGGAGGAGGTTTTCATCATCGTGCCTTCCAATTCATTTGTAGACTCCGTTACTCCCTAAGATGTTAGAAAAAATAGTAATGTTGCTTGCAGACTTCGCAGTTGCTTTACCGAAACATCTCCCGAGATCATTTGCATGCGCTTCAGTCGATATGCAGTCATTTCTTTTCCCGTTAGCGGAACGTTTTCTCTTGTTTCTAATGTAGCGTCCTTCATTTCATTTTCTATGCGCTCTACTCGTGTGGCAATTCCATCCAATACGCTCTGAATCGAAAGGTGAGAACTTTTCTGAACAGTTCTTATCGGTTTTCCACTCACCATGAGCAAGCCTTTGAATCTCTTTTCTTGTGGAGTATTTTCATCAATTTTTCTTTCTATCTGATGTACTCGAGTTGACACTTCGTCTACCACACCCTGGAATGAGAAAGTGGATTTTATTAATATGTTGCCTATGTGACGACTTTGTCTCCCTTCTCCGCTATAGTACTTCTCAGTTGTCCTTCCATGCGATTTAGTCGATTTGCAACTTTGTCCATCTTAGTCTAAATAATGTAAGTATTTCGGCTACATTGGTCCTTCGCCCTTGCCATCAGCGAGGATTTATCTTTCTTCTCCTGTGAAGCAATTCTATTCATTTCCGTTTCCATGTTGGTTATTCGGCTCTCAATCTTGTCGAAGACACTCTAAACAATAAAGCACTAGACTTCGCTGCTCGACTTCATCTGTGGTGTAAAACTTTGCCCTTCTCTTCTGAGATGTTTTTTAACCCCCATTCCAGGCGCTCCACTCGTTTCACAATCTCGTCCAACGCATTCTAAAATGCTGTATGATGCCTGTCGGTTGAGTATATGCTTACCATCATTTGAGCTTTGTATTTCTTCTCTTGTAAGACAACTTCCTCCATTCCTTTACTGGATGCTCCACTTGCAATGTTCCACCCACTCTAAACGTAAAAATATATGATTTGGCGCTGCCATATCCATCATAAGTTCAGTGGCTTCGTAACTGTGTTATATGTCTCTGACGGAGCCTCCATTAGTTCCTTCTCAATGCGAGCAACTCTTTCCACAATTTCCTCCATCAAACCCATTTTTCTGCAATGTATATTATATAAAGCTCAGCGCCTGTATGTCTGCCTGGTGTTTATGTGTGTAAGAAAGAGGAAATAATTCTTTCAGACCTTGCCACATACGCAGGTGTCGTAAACTACATTTTATTGAGACCAATATCAAATATCGATATCTTGCAAACTTTGAGCTAAGGGCTGGGAGTTGACAAAGGAGTAAGTGAGCATGCTGATCACGAATACAATGCATCTTCCCGGACTTACGATGACTCTTATCTTCTATAAGGATTCTATATATGGGCACAGCGGAGGTATATGAGCATGTTGTAACGAAGCCGACCCGGAAAAGACTTTGCTTTTGGCAAGTTTATCGATATTTGCAATTTTGAGCTGTACTGATTTGGTACAGCGAGGATGGGGAGGGGAGGGTGAGTGAATATTTTCTTACCAAAATCTAGTGGGAGAAAAGCTGGCATAAAGAAGTGAGACAAAGACGACGAGGGTGTTGGGAAAATTATTTATTTATCTACTAGCTGGCATACCCGGCTCCGCCCGGCCCAGTCAAAAACTATGATAAAAGTCCCATCAGAATCCGTGCAGAATCTTCTCCCATGCCACTTCTCCATGCAAATTCCCTATCCCCGTTTCTCTTTAAAATCAGCATGCACACCTATCCCTCTGTAGCAACTCCCAGCCCCGTAGGTCAAGTTTGCAAGAAAATCGAGAAAATCGAAGAAAGTAGTGGTTAGTTTCAAAGCTATTGTATACGTGATCAGCATAGTCGCTTACCGGTGGCGGTCGCAGGATTTTCGT